TAAAAGAACTTTTTTTAGAGGAGATGGTGTGCTCCAGAACGAGGTAACAAAAATACATCAAAAGTTGACAACTTCCCTGTTTCCAACAATGTGCTCAATCAAGAGACGCAAAAGATGATTGACGTTTGATTTTGCAGTTAGATAGAGACGAGCAATCATTTCTGATCAAAACAAAGCAAACCCGACCGAAAAAGCTTTTATTTTGATGGAGTTATGGGGCTTTTACTGAAAGCACTACTATACCAAAAATTTAAAAGATTAATGAAAAAATGCATGACAACCGATAGAAAAACTATTATTTCGCTGTGGGTTTTGATGTGAAAAAATTTGAAGTGTAGCTAAAAGATAGAGCGAAGTCAGAGCTACAAAATGGCTAATTCAGTTTTTCTTACTTTCAAAAGATTAACACAAGAAATCATTTTTAAGTTTAAGAAGTTTACATTTTTTTCGACTTTCATCCAATTGGCTTAGTTTTCTTGATTGAAGTTCTGAAATTATAGTTTAGGTATGATCTTGTAGAGAATTTCGCAGCGCATCTTTTAATAAAGACATCGAGTCTCGGAAATCCAAACCAAGTTATAAGCAAAATACTGAGAGGTCTATTCTTTATGGTCCACCCGTTATATGGATAATAACTTAACCTACTTTTATCTTATGGCACATCTTACATACGTGCCATAACACCAAGTATCACTTGTACAAAAAATTTCTAGAATCATTCACTTTTCTTGTTTCCTTTATTCTATCATTATAAATAAAAATCCTTATATCTCTTTCTTTTATGAACTTTCTTCTTCAGTATATTTGGTTTGTTTCTTTATTTCAGATTTCTCCCATTCTAATTTTGAATTATCTTGGTAGCTATATCTATGTTGAAGATTAAGTTTTCTTTTGAAAATTAGAAAATCAAATCTTTTAAAACTAGATTTTGCCAACTGAAGATTCGTTCTCACCCCTCTCTTTAGCGATTAAGCGCAAAGAAAGAAATTCTTCACTGATCCTTATAAGTAGATTCACAATTTATATCGGCTTTATATCTTTCTTTGTGTTTTCAGACTATTTTTTTGACGTTTTCCCACGCATGGTAACATTTGAAACAAATACGTTTATACCAATAAATAGCTCATAGAATCAAATATATCAGACGCTATTTGAATTTGGAAAAAAAGCACTTTCAAGTCCGTCCCGATGCCTACTTGAGACAAATGACTGTAATTCAAAATGTTTGCAATCGAGATAATTCAAGAAATTGATTCCACTACCATCTTTTGTCGGATTAAGTCGATCTCGACCTGCCGTTTTTTAATCCATGGGTGATTTGGAGTCATCGTAATAAGGTCAATTTTGAGTGCGTTTGCTAGACTCGTGTAAGCTTCTTTATATTTTTGCTGACCATCAAGTAAGCGTGCTATCGATGCATATGTGTCTGCCACCAGCGGATGGTCCCGATAAAACATATCCAATTGAATACTAAGCAAACGCTCGTACGTTTGCAATGAAGCCGAGTAGTTGCCTTGTTTCTCATACACATAGCCAATATTTGGGAGAACAATGTTCCAATTTGGATTTTTGTCCAATGGATAGGCTAATATTTTCTCGTACATCTTGACAGCATCGGGGTATCTTTCTTGGATTTCGTAGATGAGACCGATTCCCTCGTAACTCTTGACAAACTCTCGATCATTGAGTCGAAAATGAAGTCGTTCTTTGAGCGTCTGTTCAATATACTTTTCCGATGCTTGCGTATTGCCTAGTTTAGCGTGCAGGAAAGCAATGATTGAAGAAGTTCGTATAGTCGATGAGTCAATGGAGGAAAATAGTTTCAAACTTTCCTCATACATTCTGAGTGCATCGGTGTCATTCTCTTGTTCTTCATAGATTTCACCCATTTGCTTGCAACAAAAGGCCAATTTTTCTCGATTGGGCTCTTCTTTGTTCTGTTCATTTTCAAACGATTTTTTCAATGTGTTCAATTCTTGGTTACTGTTACTTTCTATATTCTGGAGGTAGTTTAGGAGAGTCTTGGTTGTCACATCTACTGACAAAAACATATAATTAGACCAGATAAACTGTCTCTTTTGTTTCATTTCAACGAATTTTTGATAATATAATGTCGCTGTTGTGAGGTCGCCTTTTTTTTCATAAATCAGTCCAATTTCATTTATCACCAGAGCCAAGTTCTCTAGATACCGACAAAAAAGTGTCGCGCTCATTAGTTCATCAATGAACATCTCAGCTTTCTCGTAGTTGCCCATCAAACGCATCAATTTAGCCAGGCAAAGTAAATTATGATCCGATCTTATTTTCTCCCAAACACCATCAGTCAACGCTTCTACTTGCTCGTCTTCCTCATCCGTCAATTTGAGATCCACATTCCAGACACCGCTGATGTTTTTTTCCACTGAACGAATACGAAATACACTGCCCATGGAAATGAGAATTTCGGATTCTGTTCGAAAGGAACTCAAGTGTTCGATGTTAGCAAAGGGGCAGTTTTTGCCAATTTGAGGGTTAATTTCGATTTCGAATAGAATCTTCTCCATGCCTGGTTCGTTCGTACTAGCATCTGCAAATAATTCGGCCACATATTTATCTGCGCTTGTCGATAAGAAATTATTTATTGACAAGAGACCACCAATATTTGATCTGTGTTTCTCGAACTCTTCACTGGACATTACTTGACCACGGTACACGGTCATCGACATCCGTGATGCTGGTGCTGCAGATGAATGCAATTCTTGCAGTTGTTTGTGAAGATCAACGATAAAAAAGCGCATTGTGAACAGCATGTCAATGTCTTGTGTTCTCAAGGCTTTATTAAGGGTTTCGAAGATGAACCGACATCGAGTGTACCAGTAGATAGATTTATATTGTGGAACAGTATTGACATCTCCCGTTAGCACTGCATTATAATCGCGCTCGATCTCTTCGAGCAAGGCTTTTCCGCAATCGTCGCCCTCAAACTGCACAGTGAAATGCAAGATCATTTCGCGGAGGGAGTGGCATGGTTGATCTATTGGATGTTCTAAGACGAGAAATAAATCTCGAATCAATTGAGAATACATCAATGACACTTGTTCTCTGTTGGCAATGTTTGTGAATGCGGATGAGGACGGAATCGATGACATCGGCATCAGATTGTTCGAACATTGTCGAGTGTTCTTATTTAACTGTTCACAGATCGAATCAATATCGATGAAAACACCGCGGACTTTCCGATAGGATTGCGCCCATAGCGCAGCACATTCGGCTTCATTTGGACAGTAAATATAAATTGAATCAATTTCGTCTATTTGATCGATGAGAAGAACGATTTGTTCGCCTACCGAGCTGGAGACAATAACAAAGACTTTTTCCTGCCGCCGATTAGTGATGTAGTCTATGCACGCATTCGGATCATTGAATACTCTCATATAATTGACGATACAACGTAATTTGGTAATATCAGTTATCTTTTCAGCATTAGTAGAGAGCCAAACGAGAACAAAAGTTTCCATGGGTTGCAGATCAACCACTGCTGCTTTAGCAATATTCTTTGACGTGTTCGAAGTGGCATCCACTTTTTCTGTTACACTTATATTTGATGTTGTCATTTTTACCAGTTTCAAACAGCTCTTATAAATACACTGAGGCAAACTCTTTTATAAAACATCCATCAACAACGCAGCAGTCATCATCGATTTTTTTCTTGTTGCGAGCACTATAACACTGTTTCTGTGCTGAGATGTTCTCTTCTCCCTTTCTTATCTTTAAAAGAACGACATAATAAGACACTCGTGAAGGTGAGGGGGAAAGCGTACCGTTATCGCAATTTCGATCTCGTTTAAGGGTCTCATCAGACGGCTTTAGTTACAGCCAGAGATTCCTTTCTAATTGCTCAGAAGTCACTGAAAGGCAGGCTTGTTGTTTTCCGTACAGTGAATAGGTGAATGGTGAGGACAGTGGCGATTAAGCGATGACACTTTGTTTGAGCAGCATTAGTTCATTTGTTGTGTTTCAGGCAAGTGGTGGGAAGCAGATTAGACGGCGTTTCTGATATGGTAGACTTGGGTCGATTATATTCCATGAGATTTACAGCGAATCGGATCCTGCCGGAATTAGATAATTTCTATCGGTTCCCGTACTGAGGTTATCGGATTCCGACGGTCGGATTCCAAGGGATCATTACACATCTCAATGAAATTTCTATCAGATTTCATCGGAATCCAATCGAAGGAATTGTTTCACCTGGATTTGTCCCGTATGTTGTAATCGGGCATGATATGATACGAGTTTAGGTTATATACTTAGGGCAATCCAAAAGTAGTGGCCCTGATACCTTATTTTCGTATAGAAGGCTTGAAGAAATTTTCTTTTTTTATGAGATAATAGAGAAAACGAAGCTCTATTTTTCTGTGCTATTTGATGACTCTTCAACTAATATCATAATAATAATATTTCGATAAGAACTGTTTTTGTGTAAACTTCACTAACGGATGAAGCAGATTAATACGCTTTGCATTTCAATTTTCAATCACTTAATACGCTGTATTAGAAAACAAAATATACCATAAGATGCAGCGTGAAAAGGTCTACAATTTTTAAAGAACAGTTAATTTTAGATATGAAATAAGAAAAAAAATGATTTTTTCTGGCCAGCGAAAATCAGTCGCACAGAATTTTGGTTTTTTTGAAAACAAGAAGCACACAATTAAAATAAGTTTTACTTTGTAGATTGTAGAGCTTTTCACGCTGTATCTTGTGATGTATTTTGTTCTTTTTGAATAAAAGATATCAGGTGACAAAAAGATGAAATAAGAAAAAATGAATCCATCTTGTACCAAAAAACTATTTTTTTCTGCACGGTCGAAAATTGGTCGCCCAAGATCTTGTTCATTTTGAAAACAAAAAGTGCAACTATAAAATAAGCAGTCTTATGTAAATTGTAGAGTTTTTCACGCTGCATCTTGTGGTATACTTTATTTTTTAATACAATGTATAAAGTGATTGAAACATTTAATCAACCTCACCCGTTAGTGAAGTTATACACATAAACAGTTCTTATCGAAATTTTATTATTATGATATTAGTTGAAGAGTCATCAAATAGCACAGAAAAATAGAGCTTCGTTTTCTCTATTATCTCATAAAAAAAGAAAATTTCTTCAAGCCTTCTATACGAAAATAAGGTATCAGGGCTACTACTTTTGCACTGCCCTAAGTAATTTTTTGTTTAGGTGTCTCTGTTATGAAGGAGTCCGTATATTGCCTATTCTATCGTCTTTCATATATATTGTTCTCTTTATCAATATAACATTTCGATTAATTTTCTTGTTCCTGATTGTAAAGAGATGAATTTATTTGGATAACAAGCTGTACTTAGGTGCATACTAGGATTCAACGTGAGATGGGACAGTCTCATTTCATCCCACGGGTATTTGACGTGTGTGAAGTATCATAGGATGAAAGACGAACTTTTTCACTGAGGAAAAATTTTCGTAGCTCTCTGCTATACAATGTGTCTTTGTCGAGACATATGGCCGTGCTATTTTACTTTCAATTTTTCAGGTTTTTCAGATTAAGAAACCCCTTAATCGCATCATTGTGGGTGAATCTCATTAAATAGATTCGGAGCACCATACGACGCGTTTCGACTATTGCTTAGATAGTCGTCATCAGGTATGTTCTGAATCTTTAAGATGCTACATAAGTCATAGGGCAAGTAAATATTAGGTTTTATTTTTCTACTTTCAAAAGATTACAACGAGAGAGGATAATGTTATATAATAAGAGGAATTGTTCTAGGTGTTGATTTTATTGTGTTTTGTGAAGATTGTGTTGAAGGGATCTGTAGAAGTGTTGTTGTCTATATTTCTTCCATTTTTGTCAACATCTTCAACAAAGGTTTCTTAAGAAGGAAGAAACTTTCCATAGTACGATTGGTACTGGTCACTAGTTGAACCTTAACAGATTCAACTGGGGATTCGGGAAATGCAAAATATGTTTTCCACCATGTATAAAATACATCATTTCTGAGTTCCATATATTTTCTTGTAATACCACTGGACTTATCACTGGATCCTGCATCATAATGTGAAGTTGTTTCTCATGACGTGTAAGTTGATATAATAATTTTTGATGTAAACGATAATAAACTTGTTCATGTAATTGATTTAATACAGGCATTGCACCATTTAAATTAAAAAATCGATTAAATTGTTTAGAAACACAATTGGGGGGATAATTATTCAATAATAACGACATATCAATACGAATACGTTCTGAGTTAAAATCATGAACATGTGAACAAATGCAAGCAGCATCTAATAATGCTGCATATGGAATATTACGATGTACATGATGTGGATGATCGGATGTATACGGCAAAATATAAGGTTCAGTCGTCGGCTTATGCTAAATAGATGTTCTTAATTGTCCATTTTCATTTGTAATAGTGACATCAAGAAAATGAACAGATGTATTTATGATAGGTATAATTTTAATATTAATATTTTTGGAGTTTGCTTCTTCAAGTTTAACATTGATTTCTTCAATGGTTTGATTTGTTGTCATAAAAATATCATCGATATATCTATATGAAAGAGAAATGACGGAATAATTATTGACTTAAATTAAAAATAGTTTATTAACCTTCCATAAATTCCATTATGTATTTCTTGATGTCGAATTAAATCTTGTTCCCATTCAAACGGGTATTGCTAAAAAGACGCGAACACCCACGAACAGCTACGAACAGCCACGAACACCCCGAAATTAAAATCTGAGTTAGCCAATCGATAGAGCTCGTCGAGCTGAGTATAGCAACGCCTAACGAACACCCAAAAAACTTTTTATAGTTTCGTTTTTAAGCATACATTTTGAACGAACACCCACGAACATCCACGAACACCCAAAGAACGCCCACGAACACACAAAAGAAAGGGTAAGAACATCCAGAAAAGTGCGCTAAATTCATCTTCAGGTTATTCTGGCTTGAGGGTGTGGTGTGGGTGTATGCAAAACAATTCGCATCCAGAATTAAACGTGTCATCCTCATAATATGATCAATGGTGAATGTTCCAGTTTTGCCTTGTTTCAAATGTTTAATACAAAATCGATTTAATGCTTCCAATACACCTACTCGAGGTATCACTGTATAAAGATTTTCAACGTCAGTAGTAATAAATTTTGTTGTTGATGTAAGATAAACAAATTTATAGCATCTTGACTGAAATAAATTTACTTTATGCAGTTTAGGTAAACCAGAATAATGACCTAATTCTAAATTATTTAATTTTGTAGATAATCGATTAGCTTGTTTTTGAGTTAGAGCTAGTTTCGTTACTAGATAATTGAGTAAAGTTTAGACAGCATTTAAATTATCTACTAAAGGACATCGACCATTTGTAATTTCTTCATAAGCTTCAGTTTTTAGCTTATATTCTTCTGCTTTACCTGCAAATTCATCTGTTTTACTAACATAAAATACTCTACTTTTATCTGTTCGACGTACAACAATATCCGATCGTTGACGTATTAGATGTTCGATGCTTCGAACGACTTTGTATTCATGCTGCGCATGTTTTCTTAATTTCTGATAAGAAAACGTGCGCAACATGCGACATGTATAATATTGTTTCGCAAAAGATTTTGATAATCGTGGTGCCCATATACCTTCTTTCATTCCAAGATTATTATATTCTTGCCATAAATGATTTTGTAACTCTAAATATTGTAAATTATTGATCACTTCAGTCATTTGACGAACAAATTAAACCTTGTCATTTGCATCTAAACATTGAACAATGTGATCACCATCTGTAATTGCATTCGATAACCTAGTTTATTTTTATACTAGAAATACAGAGAGAGAAATACTTGTTGTATATGATAGAAAAGTATTGTTTATGTGTTATCACTTGAAAATAAATCTGACATGTCATCATAAAGATGAATATTTGAATACAAATAAAATAACATATGAAGTCTGACTTTACCTACTATATTACAACTCACTTAATAACACTTATGTCTTCATTGTTGTATCAAATAAGGTGATTTCTATTTAGCATTTAATGACTGTATATGTTTAGTAGTTAGAAGGATTTTAGAATTTATTTTAGATAAATTAGGATCCGTATTAGAATAGTTGGACCAAAGACGATGAAATTCTTTGTTAAATTGATATCGTAAACCATATCGTAAACCATATTCAAGTTTAAAGTTTTTCCTGTTTGACTTTGTTGCACTTCTCAGTGGCTCAAATTATTTATTCTTGTTATTTTCAAAACAACGCCAAAGCACAACACAATGGGGTAAGAAATAAGGTATACAATAATTAAAGAGTGACGCGTAATATGTAAGGCCTCAATAAATATTGTCAAATATTGTCATTGTGGTACAGTCTCAACGATTACATAACACAATCGTTTTTTAAAGACATTGAGATAGTGAATTTTGGTAAACTGTATGTATGAAAATTCATTTGTAATAGAATATGTAAAAAGTTTTAAAAAGATAGTGCAACTATAAAGAATTTTGGTGTAGTAAATAACACAAAGAACAGCGATCGCAACGTTCACTCTCCTTCTCTACGGGTCTATTCTTTCTATAAAAACGAGACCGGTTTCGAAGGGGAAAAACTCTTTTAGGCTTATATGAGATGCCCAACGAAGCAGAACCTTGTAACTTAAAAATCCCTCCGAAAAATACAGGACTTTCAAAAAGAAGCAGCCCAACAATTAGCTTCGTCTGTTTCTCCTCACTTCTCTCTGATTCAGTGCACAAAAACCTGAAATCAACTCACCACTTATCTGTGTTTTGTGATAACTTATTAGTGATCAAATCCAATATAAATTAAGTTGAATATACTCACTTCCCTGTGAAGGATCACATGTATTCGTACCGCCAGTATCAAAAACAGCTCTGTTGTATAAACATTCTGGCACTCCTACTTTGTAGTGCCAGATATTTTCGCTAAAGTATAGTGAACTGACTGTTTGTACCCCATAGTACTCTATGGCTTGTTGAAAACATAACATAGAAAAGAAAAATGAGAATTATTCAATATGTGTACAATTTAGTTTACTTTTTCCATACTCTAGTGATGATTGGATACCGTCATTATTGTCAGAAATACTTTTAAGGATTTGTATTGTTTTAAGTGACAATGTTTTGTTAGTTATAATTTAAATTTTTTACTATTCTCCAAAATACGTCCAACTCCTCCAGTGCACTACCGCGACGTTCTAACCACACGTGAATGTGAAATTCGTGATCAGCGTAGAAAATGCTATCGATTGGTATAATTTTATCAGAATCGGCTCGGCGGAAGCGAAGGTAGGAAAACCTACGAATCTCTGGAATATACGGAAAAAAGAAGTCCGATTGTAATAGAAGGCAGAACAGAGTATCTTTCCTTACTGCCTCTGCCGTTTAGGCAAAAAGTATGATTCGCTGACTAAGAAATGCTCCTTTCTTGCTTACCCACACTATTTCCACTGGGTAAGTGTTGGTCTGGTTGAATTTTGACACTCTCAGGTTCGTACCGTACTGATTTATGCTGTGGCACCACTGCGATTGCATTAGTAGAACAAGAAGAAGAAGAATACCCCGCCTTTCGGCTACCTTGCGGTATAGGGTGCTGCCAGGAGGCAGTTTCGTAAGCCCGATATCTTCCCTACAACTAATACTGGCTGTAGCTCTGGACAGAACAAACGGAATTTGGATAGCATTTCCGTTTTAATTATTTTCTCAGTGTTTTTCTCTCTCTCATTTTCATCTCTAAAAAGATTTTCTGTTAAGAAATTCTCGCTCCCTCTCCTGCTTCTTGCAAATAAACAACCTTAGTTTTAATTAAGGGTCTCGTTTTCCGCAAGATGTTTACGAAATTCTCTCTCTCTGGAAAATACTACATTAAGTACTTTAATTACAGAAAACCGCGCAAGAAAGCAAAATGAGTCCAGGTCTAAAATTATTAACTACGCTGAAATGTAATATATCATTCTTCTGTATTCAACTTTGTCTCGTGCCAGTTGGCCAATAATCTATCAACATAATCACGTTATGTTCGCAGGGCCCTCCGATGCGAACTTAACTAAAGGAGGTTTCGGGTCGCTGGCGACCGCTAGAGTAAAACAGCGCCTAGAGAAGATACTCCAGCATCGCGTTAGTAAGGCGAAACATATAATTCTCCTGTATTATTGTTAAAAGTAATGTCGGACTTATCTGCACCCGCGGCCTACGGCAGCCCAGAGCAAGATCTGATGATGATTTAAAAAGAATCAGTAGATATATAAACAAAAAAAACAGTAGGCGATTGAACACATTTGTTTAAAATATAACGAAGACACAGCTTATGAAACATGCCATTGCACTGATTTATAATGTAACTCACTATACGTGTTTGTTGTGTGATGCATGCTATGTACTGATGAAGCACGAGAGCTAAGTTTTATAAACAAAATAAGAGAGAGCGAGTAAAGAACAGTTGTCAGAAATCAAATATACAGCAGCGACCGGTGAATCTTTTTTTACAAGTTAGACGACTAAATTTCAGAAAGTTTTTCATCTCTATGCATCTATCAGCAAGCATGAGACTTGTCTCTTACAATATTAAAAATAAATTTAAAACTAGAAAATGTCATCGCACTAGATCAACGCATGTATCAGATGCCAAACAGATAGGTTATTTTTCCAGTTGATGAAGCCTTGCACTACAGCTAAAAAGAGCTTATCACCTTCTACTGTTGATTGTTTTTTATCGTGCGATCTACTACAGTGAGCTTTAAAATCTCCCAACATCAGCAGACCAACATCCGATCTAACAGACATTGACTTACTTAAAGAATCAGTCAAAAACTCTATATATTCATCAAGCATATCTATACTCGATTCAGTTCTGTAAGACAAAACCAGCAAAACGTTTCCTATGCCAGGAATGATGAGACCAAAAAACATTGTTTCAAAATTTGGAGCTTTCGAAAGAAGAAAGACGAATGAAAAAAACATCGTTTCTTGTGTGCGATAGACAACCGCCTGCTGTTACTTCTCTGTCTAATCGAAGCTCAGTAAAATTAGAAATATTTATGCCATCATCATATATTGCTTTATTTATTTAACCAGGATTGGACTATAGCACTAGCAAATCACTTTCCTAATTTCTAGAAAGGAAAGAACGGTACAAAATACTGAGATAAATTTAACCGCTTTAATTTGATGAATATACTCGTATCATTCAAAAACAAATTGAATTATCAGTGAAATATAGCGTCATACAACTCAAAAAAAAATCCCACTCATTGCTGCTTATTATATGACTCGGCGTGTTCCAACTTGTGTGCTGCAGTTTGGACAATAATGATAGGCATCTTTCAATGAATCGATACAAAACGGAATTAAACAGCAACCGAATATACCACCGAAGCAACTGATTACGAAACAGATGAGCCATACTGCTGTACCGTTCTTGTAGTCGACGCGTGTTAATACTTGAGCATGACATGATGGGCAAGTGATCGATGCCGAGTGTTCACCCAGAAATGGAACCTGTTGTGCAACGTAGATAGGCACTGGTTGACCTACAGTAACTCCTGAATAGATAGAGATAATTACTAATAACTTTAAAACATTTGATGCGTACCGTGCGGTGGGGGCATTTGTGAAAACGTTTGTTGTTGTGGATTTTGTACTGAATGGTTAAATGTTTGATATTGTGGCGGATTTACTGCACCACCTGTTTTTTCTGTATTAGTGTAATCTGTATTGGCCATTCTAAACACGTCTTAAACAACGTTAAAAGTTTGAGCAAGTTTGAAAAATAGCTTTTTTTCTTATATGCTTGCTGTTTTTGTTGTTCTTTCTCGTTTTTACGTACTTGAATTCAGAATTTATTATTCTTTAAAAGATGAAAAATTGTGACATCCTATCTGATTTTCTTCTATTCTCTTTTTCTTTCTATCATTTTATTCACTGCAAATCATCGATTCCTTTTTCTTCTACTGACGTAGAAAAACAACAATTCTGTATGCTTTAGTTATTTATTACTCAATAGCCTTTACATGCACATGAATCAAGATTTACCTTTAATTTAGTGGGTAGAGGAGAAAACTGACTACGACTATTACTAAGTAGTAAATCCGGCTCATATATAGTCATATATACTTAGTGCTAATTTACTCTTCCTTTTTCTGTACTTTAATGAATCGTAACGCAAATATAAAGCAAATGTTTACTTCATATAATATTTAATTCTGTTTTATATTTAATATTATTATTGACGTAAAGGTGTCAAACTACTGACATATCACAATCAGTTTTTTTCATGCACAAATCACATTGAGTCGTACTCACATAAAAACCTAGAAAAATATGAAATAAAAAATGCGTTCATTTTTGAAAAATGAACGCTTTACCCCCTAATCTCACTTCATCTTGAAAACTGCTTCAGTTAGTAGTAAATGGAATGTTAGATCCCGTAAAGAGCAAAATAAGAGGACAAATAAGCTATGTAAATTTCATCTGATAAATTTAACTGTTTTTCTAAGTTTATGCTTAACAACAGAATAGTGCTTTAAGGTAAGAAAAAAAGTTTGTCAACGTTGCTCCTGTGGAACAAAAAGTGTGAAAACTTCCGTGACCTTTACAGCAAGTGTTCTGGCAAAATCACTGGCGCGACTATATTTCTACAGTCTTACCTATTAACATTCTTGCCTATTCTTAACAAGAAATTAAGACTATATAAATCCCACATTTCAGTTATGTGAACACCAACACTTCCGAGGTCCGTTTTCCCCTAGGATTCTCTCTATAAAAATAAACATCAAACTTTCATCTCCTTTGGAGAACGGACCGGCTTGTCCAGCTAACGGTATCCTTTTTTCGCTCTTTTTCAAAAGATTATTGCAGTAAAGCTACAGACTAATCTAAAATTGCAACTACATAACTAAGTACATTAAACATTTCTCTACAAAATGAAAAGTGTCTTGGCTCTGAATGTTGGTTAGGTATGAAAATACAGCTGTCGTACAAACAGCCCCAAAAATCGATTTTGGAGCTATCTGAAAAACGTGCTTAAAGACTGCAAAAATTCAACAAGTATACCAGTTTGTAGAAAATTGTTTGCTCTACAAGATGTGATAGCTTATTAAGTTCGAAACTATTCTAATTAATCTGTATTAATCAAAGAAAAATCAGAAAAACCGTCACGGTGTGATACTTTTGACCGTTTTTTGTCACATCCCTTTTTGGAGCTGTTTGTACGACAGCTGTATTTTCATACCTAATCAACATTCAGAGCCAAGACACTTTTCATTCTGTAGAGAAATGTTTAATGTACTTAGGGAACGTTTCAAAATGTATTCCGGTCGGTCGGTCGCTATTCCTCTATTCCGCTGTTCCCTATTCCTCAATTCCACTATTCCTCTATTCATCTCTTATTCCCCTGTCATTCCTCTATTCCCCAATTATTTCTCTATTATAGAATTTAAATTCTAATTTATTTTATTTTATTTTTCTATTTAAAGAATAAAATCAGAAAGTAACAAATTTTATATTTTCATCGAATGTTCTGATCTATTTCTTAGAAAAGGGCCCCTTTTAGTCTTTGAGAAATATGACTGTGAATATGGTTAATTATTGTTTAAAAGAGCAAGTTCCGAGACAAACAAAACAAGTCTCTGAAAGTCGCGCACGGAAAAACTTGCTTTAAAATATTTAGG